TTACACTGTGGGTATCACCGATTCGCTCGTACTACTCGTGTTGACGTAGAGTACTTCGTCATCTACGGGTAGAATACCCGTAATTTCGACCTCCGGGCACGTAAGCAAACTCACGAGCTTCTGACGAGTCGTTACGATTTCCGTTTTAGGTAGATTCTCGCGCTGCCCGAACTTACCCCAAAAGGAATTCAGACACAGTTTGGCGACTGCTCGCAGACCGGGATTTGATTTTATATTAGCAGGATCTAGTCGAATACCCTCGACCCGATCGTACTCCTCTACATACAGCTTCTTAGACTCATCGTCGCAGCACTCGCGCGGCCAGCCGCTAGCCTCCTGCTTCTACTCTCGACCCGAACGTACTCCTACATACAGCTTCTTAGACTCATCGTCGCAGCACTCGCGCGGCCAACCGCTAGCCTCCTGCTTAATCTTCAGGAATGTATTTATGTAACTGGTAAAGTGGCCGCCCGTCCGCGTCGTCGGATCGTACTAAGTGATCTCGTATTGCCATATTTCGTTTATCGCCGTTATTTGATATCCTTTACGTACAGCGCGTCTGACCTCGTCCACAACCCATGTCCCTTCGAATACTCTATCAGGACACGAACCCTGTAGCGTTGACTCTGCACAGGAACGACACAGTGCGAAAAGCAATTTACCGTGCATACGCGTCGGTAACACGGGGTGATACAGATCTCGCGGTGGTAACACGACACACTTAATCAGCCCCTCTACGCTATCGATGTTATTGTGATCACCCGTTAGTTCGCGACAATCATTGCCCACGTACACTCTAGGGTGACCTACAGGGAATTTCCCCGTTTTCGATATGAAGGGATAGAACGAGCACACATCCACGTAGTGTATCCTCTCAGAACCCTCGACTTCTTAAAAACTGATGGTATTCCCTGTATCACCACCGAAGAAAGCATCGCGGGGTTCCAGCGGTAGTTGCGCTACCAACGGGTTCTCATTCAATGTTCTACATAATGTAGCCTGTGCCGGATCGCTTATCCATCTATCGAAATCACACTCCCAGATTTCTGTCAATTCGTAATGTATCGGGCGAATAAATCTCGAGTGGCGGTAGAGGACCGATATAGTGCTGATTCTCGGGAGTATTGAATAGATGCGGAAAGACACCTTTTTGTTTCAAACCAGCAGAGCCCACGAACGGGTTCTCATTCAATGTTCTATATAATGTAGCCTGTGCCGGAACGCTTATCCATCTATCGAATTCACACTCCCAGATTTCTGTCAATTCGTAACCGAGATACCGTATCTTATCACTCATTGCCTGCATTCTCTTGAAGCGCGCATCCATAGATTCCCCCGTGTGCAACCGCGTATCCCTGTTTATGCGATAATATTTTGGGCACCCGTGCCAAAAGCAACCCTGAAACTGCAAGACGTGTCGCAGGCCTGTATCGGTGTCGTGGTAGTATCCGTCGACGGGCGTACCCTCCGATAGACGGTACTCTCGAGTGCGCCCTGCGTGAACTATAGTACAACCCCAACGATGCTCCAGCGAAAGGAGCCATAACAGAGCCTTACGTGATTGTTTCTCGTAGTAGCGGTATCCGCCCGGTGGCAAAATGGCTATCTGCTCGTCCCGCAAAAAGTTTTTTCTAAAAACTCTTGAACACGCTGAGGCTATAGTGGTGCTCTCCGAGAAAGGACAAACGCTACCGTGCTGGAGAAACATCGGCGGAAAGAAACGTATGCCTGTCTGAGGATGGCGACGTCGGATCTACAGTAATCAATAAAGTCTGTTCGAAAGTTAAATACGTAGCCCGCAGACTGTTGCTCGTTATACCATGCTAGGAATTGATCACGTTGAGCCGTCGGCATTGTATCGGGCGAATAAATCTCGAGTGGCGGTAGAGGACCGATATAGTGCTGATTCTCGGGAGTATTGAATAGATGCGGAAAGACACCTTTTTGTTTCAAACCAGCAGAGCCTGGCGTTAACCGCTAAGGAACATAACTTTATACGCTACCTTCTTCGTAGGTATCCGCGTCGTTTGGATTCTCATCATCATCTTCATTATCATCATCGAGGTCTGCTAATACTTCAGCAGCCTCGTCGGTATCCGCCTCTACGTACACACCGTTCCTAAGAACCCATAATATCGGTTCTTCAGCATTGTCGTGATCCTGCAGTGATAGCAGGTCACCCTGTACAATAGGCTCGTGACTATCGTTGGCTATTGTCGCATCGAGCGAATCTACAATTTTTTACTTTTTTATTTTCCCACAAATACCATTTGAGCGGCTTCTGTACTTTATCATTATTACCTGAGTTGTGCTCGTTAGAATCGCTGGAAGCGGTGGAGCGGTTGTCGACATCATCCTGGTCGTCGTCGTCGTCTTCGCTGGCGTCCGACGTTATAGCCATGAATGCATCTGTAAAAATGTATGAACAGCACAACACATTTTTTTTTTTTCTTTTCGACGCTGTATGACACATACCCCATGTGCCGTAATGCGTTTCTTCTTCTTCTTCTTCTTCAGCCGTTTGTCTGCTCAGCGTTGTCGCTGGTCCTGACACTTTTTTTTTTTTAAATAAAACGTATATTAATTTTAAAATGTGACCATGCAAAACAGCTGATTCAGCGGAAAAAATTAGGATTCTCTTATGGCAGCGTTATCCGTCGAAAATCAAGTAAAATCGGGTAAATCGTTTCAATCGTAACAAACAGCCAAATATATATATATACAGAGTTTATCGATCGTTCACTGATTCCGAAATACCGTGTATCCATAATACGTGTAAAACAGTATGGAGGTGTTGCATCGGTAGTTGCAGCGATCTGCTGACGCACACCGTTCCAGCTTGCATCACCATCTCTCTCCATCGTGATGTAAGCGTCTGAGATGCGTATCATGTTATTCTATTTTACAATCCGTAGCTACCAGAAGATCGCACCAATCTCTTACAGTATCGAACTCATCGATATCGCCACCTATGAGTTGCACGGCGATATCCTTTCCGACGCGACCATCCTGCAGCAGTGTCTCGCAGCTCTCATCGCGAAAAATTGCCATACAGCGTACGTGTCGAATGTTGCGTCTGTTCGCGTATCCATTGCATAGTACCCCAAATTGTTCGACTCCTCCGCGTGCTCTCCCTCCTCATCGTACACATCGTGGCTTGTATAGACATCCCACGTGTCGTCGAGTGCTTCCAGGTACGCGTAAAGGCCACTGGGCATGCTGATCACGCTTGTTCGGTATTCCTTATATTTCAGGTGTGATGGGCCATCCCGTGTCGCCAGGGTAACGCTCATAGGGTGACACAGCTTTCGCGTAATTTCTCGAGGTGGTTGAATGCCGCCAACCATGCCTGCGATTCCAGACGCATGCGTGGCGCGGTAACTCCTCCGGTGTGGGCCGTTCACACCTGCTCCGTAGCATCGCTAGGGCTGATCTGGTCATCGGGCGTCGATATGTGATGCGGCACTTGGGGTTACCATCGTCGGACATGCGCCACTCGTCTTTTGCCAACCACTCGTGGGTGCATACGCGCTGTGCGTAAGGACTATCGTTACAACGCTGATCACCGATAAAACCCAGCGTCACGCTACACCGTGTGAAATCGCGGTATCCCTTATCCAGTATAGCAGCTATAAATAGCTCCGGTAGTATCACAGGCCTCACACCAGAGGCCCAACCCTTACGGCAGATCATGTCGGGTTTATCACCGTATAGCTCATCAGCGTCCAGGGCTCCCGGTTTCGACATGCATATCGATACTAGCGGTACACCCGTTAAATGACCTAATCACAGCCATTCCCGTAGGGTCTGTTCCTCTGGATATTGTTCGGGGTTTGCGTAAAGGTAGAGGGCTCGTGTCTTCGCCCTTTGTATACGCCTATGCCGCAAAAATTCCT